ACACACACACACACACACACACACACACACACACACACACACACACACACACACACACACACACACACACACACACACACACACACACACATACACATATATACCGTTGGTATCTGTTCGGAATCCCGATAGCACCACGTATGAAATACGACCACACACTGCGTTCGATCTACCTGCCACGTACACGCCACGCCACAGAATGCGTACGGATATCTCTACCTATGTAGTCCCTCGCTCGGTGAAAGCTTAACGATTTACACAGGCATAGCTTGCCCATGTAGACGACATAGCACGCATACATATATAAATAGATAGTTTCACCTGAGTATTATGTTCCACAGCGAAGATACTACACGGGTAACATCTAGCGTACCGGTAGATACGATAGGCTAGATGGCTAGATCTACTACGATAGGCTAGATCTACCTACCGGTATCTACGATAGGCTACACGGGTAGATCTAGCGTACTATACGGGCAGCAAGCACGAGGCAGTGTATGTATACTGCCTGTCGTAAATAGGGCCTGCCTCAAGTAAGGCCTACCGAAAAATAAGCCCCGCCGAAAATAGGGCCCGCCTTCACTAAGGCCTGCCGCAAATAGGGCCTGCCGTAAATAGGGCCTGCCTCCACTAAGGCAAATAGGGCCTGCCGTAAATAGGGCCTGCCTCCACTAAGCCCGCCGAAAAAATAAGGCGCCCGTCGGCCGATGGCTTGTCGCGTGATACACAGCGACGAGTGGATGGCGTGCCCAGGGTTGGGTTGTCACCACGGGATTTGTCACTCAGGGTTAGGGTTGTTCACCACGGCTTTCACCCAGGGTGTCACCCCAGCGTTGGATTGTCACCTTTGCGCACGAACCTTTCTTACCGTTGTTAGGCAAGCAATTCCTATGTCGTCTTTCGTCGCATCCGCGGTCATTTGCTATTTTTTTTTTTGTGCTTTCAGTCGCAACGCTCACGCGTCGCTAGAACCTCCAAGCTATGCTATTCTAGCTTGATTTACCTACGAATCAATAAAAACAAAACGTAAATGGGGGATGGAGAACAAAATCGTAATCCAACGCCCATCTAAGAAACGAACTAAAAAACAGACAACAACAACAACGTGGCGATAAATAATCGGAATGCGCGTAAATAGATCGATGCTTCGTAAATAAACCGTCGAAAGCGGCACCAGACAGATAGATCGATGCGAGCATCGTGTGCATGCGCGCTACGAGTTGCACCGCGCCCGCGGCATGCGCAGACACATCTACGGCGTTCGGGATGAAATACGGGATCAGCAAACGAAACGGACTTTAAACGACGGGGACTGAAAACGACAGGACGACGGGGACGATGACGATGACGACGACGGACAGGGACTGATGACGATAACGACAAGGACGATGACGATGACGACTCTAGCGAGCAGGGCAGTGTATGTGGTAGGTATGTACATATTAAGGTAAGTTATATAGATAGTGGGACATAGTTGTAGGCTGTTGGTTGATGGTATCCGTACTGCTGTGCACGCGCGTGGTGCGTGCCGTGCGTGTGCGTGCGGGCGTGGGTGCTCGCGGAGCGTTACATGTAGCGTGTGCGTGCGCGCGTGCCGTACACGCGTTGGTGTGTGTTGTGTAGTGCGCGCGGTGTGAGTGTGCCGCGGCGGGGCGTGCGTGTGTGCCTGTACATGCGTGCGTGGTAGCGTGCGTGTGCGTGCGTGTGTGGTGACACTCGACGCAGATTTGACGCGACCTGCGACCTTAGTGATCGGTGGACCTCGGAGCTTTGGTCTTGATTTAATCGACCGTAGGCATGCCCGCTTTCGTAAACGCGACGAACACTAAAAGAAATTGCGTTGAGAGAAACCCCATGAGAGATTAGATAATCAGTCTGTTCTGCTAGCATCTAGTGACAAATCGACATACGCATATACGCTCTCTATGAGCACTATTTAGGTTTTAGTGGGATCATAGTTTGTAGGCGCTGTTGGTTGAATGGTATCCGTACACACAGCGCACACACATACACAGATTCTTCCTATTGACAAATATTGGCGAGTCAACGTTTTGTTCCCGCTTTAGCAGCTGAAATTCACGTGCTTGCGTTCAATGAATAGCGCTCACCTAAACTCCTATGATGCGCACAAGCCATGCAGAGCGAAATATTTGTTCAATAGGAAGAATCTTCCTAGACAAGTAGTATCATCGAGGGAGAGCGGTATATGCGTAATTGCTCACAGTACTACTATGCGCTAATACTATGTCGTATTTGTCATAGGATTGCTAGGCAGAACAGGCCTGGATAGATAATAATAACGGCCTTCTATCCCATCGCACATCAATAATTGTACCTAAGTAATATATGCAAGTCGTATTAATCCTACATTATACCTGTATTCCGCAAGGAACTCATTATGCATATACCGTCCACTTGTCGACCATGTATAACAAATTATACCCAATTCTAATATTATATAGGGCAATAATTAATATTAATATTATAACGCGACTACTCAACGGCATTATCAAGCATATTTATATACGAATTTGATATTATGATTTATATATAACAAGTAACTAATTTGTTTATGTTTATTTAACGGCCACTAATATACACAGCCCGTATAAACATTACATACAGATAAGTTATATCATATATATATTATATAGCCTCGTTGATTCTGTTCGATCGCCTCTTGTAGTGTTGTTAGGTTCCGTGTCCTGCCGACTGGATAATGTACTCACCCGAAAGGAGCTTGAGTAGCAAGAGGGCGCAAGAACAGATTGAGCACGCTCACTAAACACACGGCAATCGGAGAGAACGCAACCACAGCTATAGTGTTGTTTGTAGAGGCAGGCGGCGAGAGGCCGAACAATTCGCCTACCAGGGGGAAACCATAGGAAACACATCGGGGGGGCATAATTTTATCCACTCAAATGTGTATATGTGAGCGACGGGCGGGCAGCGTCTTGACGACGTCCATAGCGCGTGGTGATAGGGGTGGGTCTGAAGGACAGAGGCTTTCACGGGATAAGTGACAAGGAAAGAAGTCACGTTAGGGTTATTTACGATTATTAGCTAAGCCATACTATTTTAATTTTGCAGACCGCACCCGCGACACCCCCACACCCACACGCCACGCGCCACACACACCACACACACCATCACACCACACACACACAGCACACACACACACACCACGCACACGCCACACGACACAAACACAGACACACACACAATCACACACACACGCGGCGGCACACATACGCACGCAACACAACACACACACCACCCACCCTCGCGCACGCACACACCGGGGTTCCCACACACACACACCGCCATACACACCCCCACCATGTTCGCAGCACACACACACACATCACCGCACCACACACAACACACACATACACCACACATACAGCACACACACGCAAGACACACACACACACACACACACACACACACTCCACGAGGAACACACGCAGCACGCACCGCACACACACACACACACGCACAGCACGCACACGACCCACACACACACACGATTCCACACACACACCACACACAACAACGCCACACCACAACACACACGCACAACCACACGCACGCACCAGCACGCCACACATGCTCCCGTTCTTGGCGCACACTTACCCACGAGATTGCCGATGACGGACGAACGAGTAGAAGCGGGAACGGAGAAGGGCACCACATGGCGCCGGCGACGTGCATGCAGTCCACATCGACTCTATCCACATCACTCTCCGCACAGCACGCGAAACAGGGACTCCGCGATCATGAACGAGTGCAGACAAGTCGCGAAGTTCCAGCGCGGCTTGACGCCACCGAATCGGCTTTCTGCAGTGGGCCCAGCAGAAATGAGAAAAAAGAGACCGGGATACGTCACGCGAGTCAACCGGGTCATAGCGACGACGGTGAGGGTCAGAAGTGGGGTCATCCGCGACGGGTTCATAAGTGAGGGACACGTGGTAACGAAGAAACCAAGATTTGCAATCAGGATCGCCACAGTGGGGTTTGTACCGGCGGGTATTTTTGGACGCCTCGCCCGAAACTGGACTCTCCTAAGTGCGATGCGCAATATGCCGGGCAGTAGTCCTAACTACGAGCGTCCATACGCCGGGTACAGCCGGCGTATTTGGACGCTCGCCCGAAACTGGACGCTCATGAAACTCTAAACTCCTGAATTAATGCAAATAATAAATGTTAATAATAATCTGAGGAGGAGGAGGAGGAAGAGGGGCCAGGGTTTGAGGAGGAGGAGGAGAGAATGGTATTGAGTAGGGAGGAGGAGGAGGAGGAGGTAGGAGAGGAGGGGGGAAGAGGAGCGAGGAGAAGGTGTTTGGAGTGGAGAAGGAGGAGGAGGAGGTGTTTGAGTAGGGAGGGAGGAGGAGGAGGGAGGAGGAGGAGGAGGAGGAGGAGGAGGAGAAGGTGTTGGAAGGGGAGGAGTGAAGAGGCGACCAGGAGGAGGGGCAAGGAGAGGTTCTACCCACACCTCCTCCTCCACTCCTTCTCCCTATCCAACACCTCCCCTCCTCATCCTCCACTCAACCAACTTCTCACCCTCCTCTTCCTCGGCTGCCTGCCTCACTCTTCTCCTCTCCTCTCGCTGCCTCCTCCTCCTCCCTCAACCCTTCTCCCCTACTACTCCCCCTCGTCTCCCTCACTTTCCCCCCTACTTCCTCCTCCCTCCTCTTCCTAAACCTAATCCAACACCGTTTCCTCCTCCTCCCTCGGTCCTCGCTCCTACTCAACACCTTCTGCCTTCTCCTCCCCTCCTCCTCCCTGCCTCCTCCCTCCTCCCTCACCTCCCCATATCTCCTCCTGCCTTCCCTCCTCCTCTCCTCCTCCTCGTCCCTACTCCACACGCGTTCGTCCTCCTCCTGAGTACCTCCTTCCCCCTCGCTTCTTCCTGACTCAGACACCTTCTTCTCCTCCTGCCTCCTCCTCCTCCTCGTACTTCAAACAACATTCTCTCCTCCTCCCCCTACTCAACACATTCTCCCTCTCCTTCCTCCTCCTCCTCCTCTTCCTGCACCTTCCCCCTTAACTCAACTCTCCCACTCCAACACCTTTCTCCTGCCTCCTCCTCCTCCTCTCCTCCTCCCACTCAAACACCTTCTCCCTCCTTCTCCCTCCTCCTCCCTCATCCTTCCACCTACTCCTCCTCCCTCCCTCCTCCTCCTCCCACCCCTCTTCCTGCTCCTCCCTACTGCAAACACGCGGTGCCTCCTTCCTCCTCCCACTCCAACACTCTCTCCTCCTCTTCCCCTCCTCCTCCTCTCCCTACTCAACCCACCTCCTCCTCTTCTCCCTAACTCAAACACCTTCTCGCCTCCTCCTCCTCCTCTCTACTCAACGCTTCTCCTCCTCCTCCTTCCTCCTCACCCTCCTCCCTCCTCCTCCTCCATCATCCTCGCTCCTCCCTAACTCCAACACCTTCTCGCTGCCCTCCTCCGCTCCTCCTCCTCCCCCTCCTCCTCCTCCTCGTCTCCTCCATCACATTATTATTAACATTATTATTAACATTATCAGGAGTAGAGTTTATGAGCGTCCAGTTTCGGGCGAGCGTCCAAATACGCCGGTGTACCGCGTATTTGGACGCCTCGTAGTACCTACTGCGCTATTGCGCATGCGCACTTAGGAGCGTCCAGTTTCGGGCGCAGCGTCCAAATACGCCGGTAGCAGGTCACTACTATGACAGATAGAATAGATAGACGATATATGATATTATATATATTATATATCTATGAGTCGATATATATATGCAGGGTAGATAATAGGGGGAGGAGTGTGACATCCAATAAACAGAGCTCAGGAATTCGTCATTTACTAGCCTTATAACAATACCTACGATTTACTACACGTAACTCATTCCAAACTTGAGCTCAAATCGGACCAGTACATTCGCCCATCATCGTAGCGAAATCGTTTCCTCGTAGACACCCGCAATCCGTAGATCCAGCGCTAAAACGTACGACAGCTTCTTCCCCATTCTCTGGCCATCAGATCCAACCCATTGCGCGCCTATAATTCAAACAAAAGGCAGCTACCTAACGCGGCTATTGCTAACTGAGCGAGGCATGTGGCTCGCCTGGGAGATTATGCATCAACATCTCGCGAGATAACCTTTGACCCAGTACACAGCTACACAGGCCACCTTTGTACATAGCTGGCAATGCCTTCACCGCACGCCAACGCCAACCAAATGATTAGGCTCGTCGAGTGTTGCGTCCGATCTCCTCAATGCTCCCTGCGAGCCACAACGCCCAATTCAGCTATCCGAGAGAGCAAACACAGCGACTGCACGCCAGGTTGCTGCTTTTGTGTGAGTTATAGCGCGCGCAATGGCGTTGGATTAATGCCAGAGAATGGAGAATCGGTGTCGTACGTTTTAGGCTGTATCTACGGATTGCGGTGTCTACGAGAACGATTTCGTACGATGATGGCGAATGTACTGTGTCCCGATTTGAGCTTCCAATGTTTGTGATGAGTTTGTTATCGTAGGTATTATAAGGCTAGTAAATGACGAATTTCCCTTGTTTATTGATGTCACACTCCTCCCTATTATCTACTCCTGATATATATACATATATATATGAAAGATAGATAGATAGATAGATAAACCTTCAAATTCAACATATCTCTATCACCGTCATTAATTATGTCATTGTCAAGGTCATGACGAAACCTACTAATTCTCGTCAGCGTCAGCGTCAGGTCAGTTTAGTATCAAAGTCAGGTCAGCGTCAGCGTCAACATCATCGTCAGCGTCACTTAATCGTTAACGTCAGAGTCAGTGTCAGGTCAGCGTCAACATCAGCGTCAGCGTTACCATTAGCGTCGGCGCTGCCGCTTCTACTTACGTCTGTGTATCGAGCGGAAAACAGCTGCATGCCGACGACGGCGAAGATGAAGACTACAATGCCGAGGATGAAGGTGAGGTTGGCCAGCGCACCCAGCGACTGACCCATGATGCTGAACAGAAGGTTGAGTGTGGGCCACGACTTGGCTAACTTAAATACCCGTAACTGCAAAGCAGAGAGAGAAGCGGGAGTGATGTGAGTTAGTGTGTGTGGTGGGGGGGGGGGTACCGCGAAAGCGCGCGCGCATGGCTCTTTTCTGACCTCTCAGTTGCCACGTCATTGAGGTCAATTTTATTTATATATATATATAATTTAGTTATTTGTTTGTTTTTATCTGTTTATTTATTTATATATTTATTTATTCATCTACTGCGCTACGTTTGAGACTTATTAATACTATAACCGCGCCCTCTACCAGCCCTCTAGTAATACTATAACCGCGCCCTTTATCAGCCCTCTATTAATACCGCTCCTGCTATCGGTAGCACCCAGGCGTACCAATCGAAAAGATCTGAGGACCGAGAATCCGCCGACGTCGTCCATGGCCATCTCTAGCAGACTCAACATCACGATGAAGAAGTCGAAGCAGTTCCAGGCGTCCTTCAGGTAATACTTCGGACTCATGGCGAGCATCTTAGCAAAGCACTCGATCGCGAATACGGCCGTGAAAAACTGCGGCGCAGAGAGAGAGAAAGAGAGAAGGCAATTAGATAAAGACAGAAAGGAAGAAGGAAGAGATTATCAAAGAGAAGGAAGGAAGGAAGGAAGGAAAGAAGGAAGGGAAAGGAATAAGAGAAAGAGAGGAAGGAAGCGATTGTGAAATAGAAGGAAGAGAGGAAGGGAGAAAGGGAAAGAAATGAGAAACAAAGAGAAAGAAAGGGAATCAGAAAGGGGGGAATCATAGAACGAGAAGGAAGAAAGGTAATAAGAGATTGAAAGACAAGAAAGGGAATGAGAGAAAGAGAGAGAGAAGATAGAAAAGAAGGAATGAGAGAGAGAGAGAGAGAGGGAGAGATGGACGAAAGGAATGAGAGAGAGGGAGAGATGGAAGAAAGGAATGAGAGAGAGGGAGAGATGGAAGAAAGGAATGAGAGAGAGGGAGAGATGTAAGAAAGGAAATAACTTAGATCACTACCACTTACATCACTATCACCACACATTATCCCGTCAACTACTACTATATTCACGGTTTCCGTCACTACACCGATTACCTGCAAGGCATACACTACTACTATAACGAGCTAATCATTATTAGCTCTTGCTACTATTTCTATTCTGCTGCAGCCACCCCGGTGTAGCTTACTGAGTTGCCGTTGGTCAGCGTGCGGTCGAGAGCGTCCGACTTGCCGTAGAAGTCGAGCGCCATGAAGAGAGTGTTGACGACGATGCAGATCGTGATAAACAGATCGACGAAGGGGTCGAGGATGAAGAAGCCGATGACGTTCTGCACCTTCTTGAAGCAGGGCGAGCATTCCCAGCCGAGCACGTAGTCCATCGCGTAATGATGCATCTTTACGGCGCAGGGCGTGTCCTCTTTCTCCTCTTCGTGTGCGTGTTCGTCTGCAACGAGCCGCACGCCATCTATGAGTCGCGATCGAAGGCGCGCTCTCGTCGAAGTTTACTTTAGATTTCTATTATTTGGATTTTTAAATATTTATTTATTTTATTTATTAGTTTATTTATTTATTTATTAATTAATTAATTAATTAATTTATTTATTTATTTATTTATTCATTCATTGATTTATTTAAGTATTTATTTATATTTCTGATGATGGATTAATTAATTAATCATCACATCGACAACTTATCGAGTAAATGAGATCATAATAATAATTTACAAGTGAATAATTGTTATAGATAATCATTACTTAGTTGCTTACTTTATTCATTTGTTTAATACAACTTGTTTAATACAATTTTTTTTTTATTTAGATATTCTTCCTTTGCTTTGGCTATAGGTTTAGAATGACAACAAACGGCTATACAGATTTTTTGAAACTCTTGACAGTTATATAGCTGTAGACATAAAGATATACAGCTACAGACATAAAACCTGACTGTGGTCATTAGGTGTAGAAATTTGTCTGCGTATAGATTCACATGCATGCATATTAGAAGTTGCTAACGCACTTAAAATAATGCTTAACAAAGTTAATATGATAGACATAAAATAATAAACCTACTAAACACGTCATAATCGTGTCTCCTGTCTATTACTTGTTCACTATTTCATTGATATACGAGACATGTATCTATATGCACGCGCGCGTACATGCACACGTACGCACACGCACTTACGTACACATGCATACATGGACACGCACATACACACACACGCGTGCGTGCACGCACACAACACACACACGTACACGCACATCATACAGACACAACATATATACGCACACACACACACACGCGCGCGCACGCACACACACACACACACACACACACACACACACACAAACACAGACACAGACATACACACACACACACACACACACACACACACACACACACACACACACACACAGCTAATCCCTCACCTCGTGTCTCGGGCGGCGTCGGGCTGGGAGAGTTGGTGAGGGATGGTTCGCAGGAGGCTGCCCGTGGTTTCAGCCATCCCCGATCCCAGTTAAACCCGGTCGTGAACAGCGAATCCTGAAAACAAAACGACACCTCGGGGATAACGTTCAGCCGGCAACTCATACGGTTGCTCTCTGGGTAACAACGCGTGTACGTGTACGCACGCACACATACGCACTCGATCCGCACGAGCCAAGATGGCTTCCAAAATTGACGCGCCATCTAGCGAGTAAGTGTTCTCTTGTTTTTTTGTCTCGTACTCGATTACGTGATGATCAGTGCGAGTGCTAGTATCACGAAATAATGATTTCGACGAAGAAAACATGCTCGTATGCGAGTTTTTAGAAGAGAAGCTTTCGATGAATAAATGATGACGAACGAGAGAAGTCACAACATTTCGAGTCTACTCGATTAACACGCGTGCTGCTGTTTGAAGACACGCCTTTCGAAAAATAAAAATTATGCAATAATTAAATATGATCAAGAATATCAATTCATTCATATAGTTTTACTGCCAAGACCGTGTACGTCAAATCGTTCATACGCACAGTAAATTACGGCTTTAACTATTAATAGCAGATGTAAACTCTACGATATGTACACTCACATATATATCTACATCAATCTCTTTCTATATATATATATATATTATACACATATTGTGACATCTCGTAGTGTGTGACTTTACGTGTAAATTTACGAACACATCAAAAATTATGACAGACGGACACGTATTTGTATCATGATTATATCTGATCAGCTGAACTTATTCTAACATGGAACGAAATAGAACGACATGCCGCCTACGAAAACGTCGGTATGAACGAACGAACGAACGAAACACGAACACAACGACCAATGAAGTGTGTGACACAGGCGATAATATATATATATCTATAGTATATATATATTATAGTATAATATATATATTATATATATATATATAGCGAGCCAGCTAGCTTCGCATCAAATGTAACACACAGCAGCACAGCACAGCAGCACAGTGGCTTCCACGCATGGCAAAACATACACCAGTAGCAGGTTAGTACACACGACATACTGTTCACGCACACACACTCACTCAGTGACCATGCAAAAGGTCAGTAGAAAGAGCACGACAGAGCCAGTCACCGCGAGCAAGACAGCGAGAGACTGAGAGCGAGAGAAAGCGCAAGAGCGAGAGAAAGAGCGGGAAGGAAAGTGAGAGAGAGAGAGAAAGAGATAGATAGAGAGCATGCAACGATTGTCTGCCTGTGTTCATGTATAGGGTGACACACATTGGTCTTCCGTCGCTAATACTGAAAACTTACCATGAGCGACTATATACACATTGTAAAAGCTACCGTTCTAGGAAATAAAACTATACCGGCGCTAGAAAATGAACTTATACATGCAGACAGTCTTTCGTGAACAAGGTCACCACGACATGTAGAATGAAATGAAGGAATCAAACATAGCCAGACCAAACCGTTGCACTGGTTCTCGGATTAGCGAAACAATAAGAGACGAACAGAAAAATCTGCGAACGGATCATAAGTCTGAACTGAGCCATACAAAGCCGTACGACCGCGGTGGGAGGGGCGGCAGCGGCGGGGGGATAGGGCAGGGGCGAAGCGAGGCTGGGGGAGGGGCTCGAGGGAGAGGAGCGGAGGGTTTTTATTCGTCCGTAGCTCAAATGATACCACTAAACGACGTGTGAATGCACGCGCGTGTGATCGCCGCGGTCCCGGGTTCAAGCCGTCGTGGGGTTCGAACCTCGATCATCGGCGGAAAGCCCGGCGGACAGCGAGGAAGAAAGAGAGAGAAAGAAAGAGAGAGAGAGAGAGAGAGAGAGAGAGAGAGAGAGAGAGATCTCGCCACCATGTCCCGCGGCCCTCGCCGTCAACAGGGGGCGCCTGCGCTGCTACACTCGAATGGTGTTTCCCGTTGCGAGGATGTATGCGTATGCGTCGGCGGCCGAGAGAGCGAGCGAGAAGCGAGAGAGGCGGCAGCGTGGGGTGAGTACGCCTGTCACGCAGACGGAGCGGAAGCCCGAGCCGCGGCTGACCGGAAGCGACGCCACGCGACGGCCGGGGGTGGTGACGGTGTTTTGCACGTACGTACGTGGGCACTCACGGCAGAGCAAGTTGCGACGTCTTATAACCCGAAACAAAACAGAAACGAAACCGAAACCGAAACCAAAACGATAGATAATGCGTGTATATATGTATATGTATTATGTGTGCCCGTGTGCGCGTGGCGTGGTAGAGGGGGAAGAGGGAGGGGCGTGCAATTATGCACTGAGTAAAGGAGGCTTGATGAGGGAGAAGATAGAGAGTGGATGCGGTGCGCAGACATGGCTGGCTCTGCACTAAGTCACTGAAACCTGAACGAGAGAAAGAGCGAGCGTGTAAAAGAGAGAGACAGACAGACAAACAGACAGACAGACAGACAGACAGACAGACAGACAGACAGACAGAGAGAGAGAGAGAGAGAGAGAGAGAGAGAGATAAAGGACGAATAGAGAGAGAGAGAGAGAGAGAGAGAGAGAGAGAGAGAGAGAGAGAGAGAGAGATAAAGGACGAATCGGAAGCGCAACAGTGAAACAGCGAGGACGTGTGGCCGAATGAGCGACTGAATGAATGAGTGAGCAAACGAGCGACGTACACAGAAAGAGACAGACACCCATACATATATACAGAGAGAGAGAGAGTGAGAAGATATCTTTAGAAAAAGAGCGAGAGGGAGACGGGGGGGGGCGGAGTGATTGGAAGCTCTGAGAACCAGTGTGGTTTGGTCTGGCTCATTGGGTGACCCATACTGAGTCTTACTCACTTCAATATCGGTGGTGGGAAACAAGTACTTTAGCTCGATAAGTTCATTTTCCTTGCTTTGCGCGGTTCTTACATTGTTCTTTTTGTCTTTGACGCCGCCGTCGGGAATGAGCGAGTGCATTCCCAAATTGCGCGCGTACGTCGAGTGGGAGTCAAGCAATTTGCTGTCACCGTGTGGCGTCTGGTCGCGCACGAGCCGACCGTTGAAGAGTGCGTGGTTGGGGGGCGGCGACGACGTGCGCGCTGCGGCTGCGGCGGCGGCGGCGGCGGGCGTGAGCGCTAGCGCGTCTGCGTGACCGGGCGCGTGTATTCTCGGCAGCGTCGCGGTGTCACTGAATATCTCAGACGTCGGCGTTACGGTGGCCGACGCGTCCGCGTACGGGAAATCTACAGTATCAAAGAGCGAGGCGGCCTCGACGAGCCGTTTCCTGTCCGCCGCTCGCTTGCCGTTACGCCAACTAAACTGGCTCGATTTGCTGCCACGTCGATTATAAGGTGATCCAGGTGTTACACTGGTCTGAAAGAGAGACAGCAAAGCACGGCAATCAGACGAGTCACGCACGACGGACGCCGACGACGACGCGTGGGGGGCGGGCGGACGAAGCGACCGGACCACGTTGCCTGCTGCTTGCCTGCCTGCTTTTCCCCGACGTTCGTTTTCCCCGACCGTGTTTCTTTACGTCGTCTTTCTGTACGTCGTATTCCATTACGTTGTCTTTCCTTACGTTGTCTTTCTTTGCGTTGGTTGCTCTTCCCCTAGGTTGAATTTTTTGTCCCATGCGTTGTTTCCCGTTCCCTATATCGTTTGCCTTTCTACTCCGCTGTTTTTATTCATTGCCCCATGTATTTTCCTTTGTTTCCTTCTTTATTTCTACAGCGTTTCCCTTTTCCCAGGTTGCCCGCGTGTTCCCCTTTCCTTCCTACATTTCCTTCCGTTTTTTTACGATTCCTACCAAACGTTTTTCGTTGTCACCACATTGTCCTGTTGTGCTTATATTTCCCTTTCCCTATCTCGTCCCCCCCACAGCTCCCTCCCTCGCGCGTCTATCCCATAATTGTTTTTCTCGGTGGTCCAACGGCGGTCTGCCTCGCGCCCGCCCCCTGGCGGCGACGGCGGAAAGCGTTTGTGAGCGGGAGCGGCGGCGGCGTCGGGGAGGGGGTCTGAAAGGTAATGTTCTTCGTTACAAAAGCAGACGAAAAAAACCGATGAAAAAAAATAAAACGACGGCGATGACGACGACAACGGCGATGACGACGGCAACGACAGCAGCAGCGGCGGCATCGGCGCGTACTCAGAGAGAGATAGAGAGAGCGGAGGTCGTAGCACAGCGACACGTAGTGGCGGCGTGGGGAAACACGGGCGAGGCAGACGAAACGCAAGAGCTAAACGGCAACTTAACATAAACCTCAGTCGACCGCCAGACGCTGAGGGGGTTACCATGACAACGGAAGGCGACCTTCAGGCATCAACGACAATCAGAAATGCGAAAAGCCGCCACGGCGGCGCAGACGCGTGGGAGTATCGTCATCATCAACGCCAACGCCAACAACAGCAACATGCTCAGAGTCAATGCATAGGTTGTAGATTCACGTGCTCGTGGTGGTTTGACGGCCGCGATCATACACGATACACCATGCACACAGTACGGGTGTGGCTTAGATCACGTAACGTCCCGAGTCTATAATTGACTCGAATACGCACGCACGCACGCACGCACGCACGCACGCACGCACGCACGCACGCACGCACGTACACGCACGCACGCACGTACGCACGCACGCACGCACGCACGCACGCACGCACACATTTAAATATATCAATTATGAATTAACTATAACTCACGCAGTCGAACATAAACACTTAATTAAATGACGTCATATATAAATGAGAAAAGTACGATGAGTAATAACACGCATTTTTTCGTTTTCTGTTTGGTATTTTTTTCATTTTATTTGCTAAACGAGTAGCTCGCGTGCGTTAGCGCGTGACGTCACGGCGATGACGATCTGTCGATCAAAAATGCACGCGCCGAGATAGACAGAGCAACGTCTCTGCGGACGATGAGAGCGTCACTGAGGCGACCAGAACTGGATTCGTAAAACACACATCACGCACAACAATCCCAATGCGAAATCAGTAGAAGATGCGCAAAAAGACACAGCACTACAGAAAACATGGCGGCTGACACGTAGCGCCCCCTCGCGGCAGCGTCAACTCCGCAAAAAAACACCGAACACGCAGACGAGTAAACACGCGCGAAAAATATAATAGAGGGCGCGCAAGCGAAATATAGATGGCGCGCAAGACGGCGGCGTGCACTCACCTGGCGTCCGGTTCCGTTCACCTGCTGCTGCTGCTGCTGTTGCTGGGCAACGCTAAGCTTGTCGGCTGTCGAGTCCCTGTCGAGGAGGTCCTGCGACTTCATGCTGACACTAATCTTCTCACATCGCTTGTCGTCCGACGCGTCCTTACTGAGGCCATCCTGGCCGACGAACAGATCGTAGCTACCGCAGGAGAAGTCCGACGGAGACTTCTTGACGGCGTCGTGCGCCTCGGCGTGGTGTTCCTCCTCCCCCTTAACGCGCGCCAACCGGTCGTCCTCCTCCTGGCGCGTGAGAATGGCGCATGTGGGATAGATATGTGGCGCATTGTAGTTAGCAAAATCACCGGAATTTTTGTTTCCGATTTTCAACGAGTTAGCATTCTCGCGAACACAGATCTCAACGATTCGCGACACGAACTCCAGCTCAATAGCGGCCCGCGATTATAAAATTTCGTTATTATTTCCGTCCGCGTGCGAGAGATGGCGCCACCGTACCTGTCTCGCCGCCTCCGCCTCCTCGGCCTCTTTCTTCGTCGCCGCCTGCTGCTCGTCGTACGACATCGCGACGACGGCAAGGATCAGGTTGACAAGATAGTAGGAGCCGAAGAAGATGACCATCATGAAGAAGATGATGTGGATTATGCCGTTAGCCCGCAGGATCTAGAGGTTAAAGACAACGGGGTGTGTTTACACGAGTTGTATCACGAATAATCTCATTATATTGAATAATAATAATACTAATAATAATAGTAATAGTAATAGTAATAGTAATAATAATAATAATAATAATAATAATAATAATAATAATAATGAATGTGATGTGGATGACAACGTTCGCACACAGGATCTAAAATATAACAAAACAAGATAATTGCACGAGTTAAAACTGATAGTGTACGCTATAGTGAGCTATATAGGAAGGTATATAAGCTATATAGTCAGGTATATAAGCTATATAGTCAGGTATATAAGCTATATAGGAAGGTATATAAGCTATATAGTCAGGTATATAAGCTATATAGGAAGGTATATAAGCTATATAGGAAGGTATATAAGCTATATAGGAAGGTATATAAGCTATATAGGAAGGTATATAAGCTATATAGGAAGGTATATGAGCTATATAGGAAGGTATATAAGCTATATAGGAAGGTATATAAGCTATATAGTCAGGTATATAAGCTATATAGTCAGGTATATAAGCTATATAGGAAGGTATATAAGCTATAAAGTCAGGTATATAAGCTATATAGGAAGGTATATAAGCTATATAGGAAGGTATATAAGCTATATAGGAAGGTATATAAGCTATATAGGAAAAGGTATATAAGCTATATAGGAAGGTATATAAGCTATATAGTCAGGTACATAAGCTATATAGGAAGGTATATAAGCTATATAGTCAGGTATATGAGCTATATAGGAAGGTATATAAGCTATATAGGAAGGTATATAAGCTATATAGGAAGGTATATAAGCTATATAGGAAGGTATATAAGCTATATAGGAAGATATATGAGCTA